TGAACGTGATCTTGTTTAGATAATTGATAATAGTTTGGATTCTTTTGTACAATCTGGGCATATATAAAATAATTAATATTATAATTCGTTATATTATAAGCATAAAATAGACCAACTTCAAAATAAATGAAAAAGTAGTGCAAAGAATGAGAAAAAACAAAATGCACTTGATATGGTTGTGAAAAAATAAATAAAACTGAATAAACTAGAATCTGGATTGGAACAACGGTGGATGCACAACGTCGTCGAAGAAAATGATGATTTGTTGTCCGTTATTTTTTGTTTTCAAAAAAAAAGATTTATTATTTCTCTTCCAATTTGTCATCGATGTTACCCCTGCCTTGCCTACAGACGCTAAAATTTTCAATACAACGATCCAATTATCAAACTAGATTATAATGGTGATATCAAACGTTGCGGCTATTTGATTTCATGGTTCATATTGATTTTCGAATGATGCTATAGATAATAGAATGATTAATGGAACAATATTATATATTGGTAATCAACGATTTTGTGCAATTATTGAAAATGCTCGGCTAAAGTTTTGTCATTTACTAAATTTACATATTTGGGGTAATTATATTTTTCAATCACTTGCTTAACAGGCATCAGTTCTATATATGTTCTGTTCAAAGCCCGGACTATTGTACCTAATAATACTCTTAAACAATATATTAAATATCTGATTGTTTGTATGCATTTTATTTGACTACATAGATAACAAGGTCTATAATTCGTAGAAGCTGATGAATTATATCCATTATTTTTTTTTCGAAACCCCTAATATATTACTTAACTAGCCCTATAACTTTAAGCGCTGAAAATGTCAAAAATAAGAATATTTAATTTTATAAATAATTTCGAAGCAAAAATTAACTTTGCGTGTAAAACATGAAAGAAATATATAAAATTTTAGCCATGACTAACAGAATTGATTTTTGATTTTGAATTATTTTTAATTATTTAAAGGCATTTATAATTCATAAAACTAATTTCATATAAACCATTTAATATAATCCAAATTTATTAAACACAATAAAGAAGAGAAAATTGACATTTACTTTGAATTTTTGGTAGTTCGCATAATTCACGTCATAAACGCATTACCCTAAATAGATCAGATAAAAAATGTATCAACCGCTATTTTACAGTCACTATATATTTTTCAATGTATACAATGTTTTATGATATCATTTTAAATTACTACACAATTTAAAATTAATATTAATTGAGCACATGTAGTCTGTGCGATATTTTATTAAATAACAAGTCATCATCCAGGAAATGTAACAAAAGCGTTATCAGAGCTTTCCTACACAGCGCTGCAAGCATTTTTTCATTAATTAAATTGCTCTGTATACAGGACACAATTTCCTATTTGCAATAAGTATTATGAAAATTCAGTTTCAGTTATCACACACACAGATATATATATATATATATATATATATATATATATATATATATAATACAAATAAAACCAAAAATGTTGATTATTGAAAATCATTTTCTTTCGACGTTTCAGAACTGTTTAATCTTCAGATTTTCTATCAAATACATACGCTATATTGGAAAATAACAAAAACTTGAATTTGTCAACATGTTATAATAAAAATTTTATTATAACAAAATCTCAATTTTTTTTTTGAAGAACAGACCGAAATGATGAAAAAAAATTAATACTTAAATTGCTACTACTGACTTGTTCATTAGTACTTTCTTTAATAGCTCTTTTATAAAAATTTTATTTTAGACTTGTTATTGTAAAAGGTCATGCTATAGTATGTATCACACAAAATATATTTATTTCACTAAATAAATTTTTAATAAATGAACATCCAATAAACTATATATCAAACAAGATGCAACTTACATTAAATACCTAATTCAAATCTGAATTCATTATTGAATTCCATATATTTTAAGTTGTCGACAAACATTATTAGAATTATTGAAGTTCATTTAAAAAATATGCAAGTCAAATCCAATTACATTTACATGAAACCGTTGCTTAATTTAATTTTAGTAATTATGTTTCAAACACATTTTTCAGCTTATACATTATTTATAATGTGCAAGTGCTTCAGTAGTTATGTGGCTAAAAAATGTCTTTTTTTTCAAAATGTAATTTTGAAAAATAATATGATGTACTTTTCGTAACTTCCAAAATCCAAACAACTTCTATTTTCTGTTATTTTTATATCTTACTAACGGAAAGTTAATAAAATGTGGTCATCAACGAAACACATTGATGACCATTTTCATTTTTATCATAAGATTACATAATATAATAATAAAGTGATAATTTAATATTATTTATCATAATTACTAGATACCATCATTATTACTGAACTAAAATTGCTTTCAAGTTTACCTCTACATACATTCATTTTAAAATTTGAAATCATTTTTAATCGTTCGTAAAAGCTTTGTTTCGCCCTCAGAACGCGGAAGACGATTCTGTTAAAGGACGCTATTTGATTCGAGCAATTTGCGTTCACATCGCAAGAGAAGAGATTTCTTTGTGGCAGACGCGGTCCGACGGTCATCAAATTGTCCAATCTTTGTAACAAAAGTTTAGCGGCTAATTCACCATACAGTCGTATCCGGTTAAAATACACTCAAAGGTTTCGCTTCTCGAAGATTTTTTGCAAATATCAAACTGTTCGTAATATAAGGAAATTGCAATTTTTGATCATTAAATTTTGAGATAATAGTTATTGGCACAATGTGTTATATATTATTTCCTCAATAAATTGTACTCACAATCAAAAGAAACCAGTGTGTGCTAAGGAATAAATTGAATACCAAGTACAGCAAAGAGATATGTACAAAAAAGTTATGTAATTGTGTGTGATTTTTATTATGATAATTATTATTGCATAGAAATCGTAATTTATGGGCTATATAAGCTGTTGTGATGAAATACTTAACTATTTTATAGATGACAACCCATGCAGTTGTCCCATCTTTATCTGAAAATTTTTAATTATTACAATTTCTATAACAATGATAAATTTTATTGATGCAGCAATGCCGGGTAGTAAAGATTTTTTTCATTTGGGAAAACCCATTGCTACTTATATTGCCCAGTAAAAACCGATGCCTGTTCTGTTTGGCATCAGGTTGTCCGAGGCGGGTCTCAAACCTGGAACTTTTGATTGAAATCCCGTAACTCTATCCACTATTCCACGGGAGAATCACATGTCTATGAATACATCCAAAATCAATATTTTTGTTATTATTGCTTTTAATTTTTTAAACCTTTGACCTGTATTTTGAATGATTCAAGATCAATTAATTGTTTAACTAATTAAAATTTTAATGATCGTGGAATATATAAATTACAATAACGTGAGCCATAATACTCAACAGGAATGTTTATTTTAGCATTGTTATGTAAAATAGGTCGAGGTTAATGATATTTTAAAAGTACGGTAGTTAACAGACCAAGAAATGTTTCTGTTAAAATATATATCCCATCAAACGTGTAATAATGGCTCTTTTACTTCAAATAATAACAAAGCAAACACACACAAACAATAGGCATTTTAAATCTTTGCCAGAAACATTTATAGTTGATGTCAGGAAAAATCAGGATAGCTTATTATGATATTATTAAATAAAAAAATGATCTTTATTGTTATACAAATGCAAACTTTTTTGTTTTCAATTTTTATTTGTGTAATTATAATAAAAACTTGTTAATTATGTAGAAATTGATTGGCTACCACCAATCTTCGCTTGTAACGATTCAGAATATCCTGAAACGTTAAGAGAAGGCAAAATCAGCGAATCGGATTGTCTGGTTGAAACAAAAACTTCTCCTTTAAGAAGTTGAAAATATTTACCATAGATAATTTGTATATCTAATAACTATCATTATTGATTATTTTTAAATTTTATGTTTGCTAAGCGAAGTGATTTCTGAAGATAGATGAGACTGACTAAATACATGGAAGCAAATAAACAACTGAGAATTTGGGAAAAGATAACTAATGCAAATAAATAAATTTAGTGGATTTGGTTTATATTCAGTAGTATGTCAATAAAGAATTTTTGTAATATCTTCAAAAGACATAGATGATAAAATTCGCTACTGAGTTGACAATTATATAGAGCCAATTAGGACTTTCGAATTGACGATTTGTCAGTTGCAATGTGGTCAAATCAAGCTCTTTCTTATTTGATATCGTAATAAATTAAACATTAGTTTGAAGTTAACGTTTATATTAATGTTCAAATAATATTTGTACAACCGGATAAAAAATGATTATTTGTTTTACTCATATATTTGTAAGTGTTAGACATTGAATACTAATATTTATAAACTGTTTTCAATAAACCTAATTTTACTTATAACTATACTATTACTGCATTCCACTGATGCTACTTAAAATGTTATAAAATTATTCTCTTGATGTTTCTTGCCATGCGTGAAATTGAATTCGATACATGATTCACACTTTACTACGTCATTGTATTTGGAATATTTTTTGATTCATGGAAATAATATATTTAATATAATTCAAATACGGTAATTGCACCGTCTAGTGCACACATAAGAACATTTATATGCATTTTCTTTGCAAAGCCTATACAAAGAGCTCGATAATTCATTATCACGATGTAGACAAACAACCACGATTCAGAAATGAATGGTATTTCGCATAACGAATGATGAGCAGTATTAAAGTTTTCAAAGTTGTTAGACAGATCATTGTATCTTACGTGATCTTTAATTTTTTTTATTATTTCAGGGAACACATCGCAATAAATCTGAAGCGTGTGCTGTCCGACTGTCTGCTCTTCTTGCAGAAAGTTTGTTTATGTTCAAGTGCACACGTATATTGGTTCTTATCGCGCAAATCGTGTTCTGTACTTCTCTCAAGTCAGAATAATTGAATAATAGAATAATTATAATAATTGTACTACGTCAGATTTTTTATATAATGTTGCTTTTCTTTCTCTACTTATGAGATTCTGGATTCCATTACCCTCTTGTTCATCATCTTGGCACCACCTTGGCACCATTAAACCCGAAGCTGAGACCGAAAAATCAGAAGTTATTCTTTGCATTTTTCATATTAAGAATAAAACGAAATATGAAATCTTAATTAACGAAATATCTTTGAGTTTTCATGTACAGTGGATCGCCAGCATACGAGTTTAATTCGTTTGAAAACCACTCTCGTATGTCAAATCGCTCGTATCTCGAAGCAATTTTTTCCATATAAGTACATAAGTAATTCGTTTCAGCACTGTAAGTTTTTGATTATTAATAATAAATTTATTATTTATTATTATTGGTTTTTGTTATCCATAAATGATATTGCAGAAAGGAGTCAGGCATGTTTCGTTGAACAACTCCCATGTTCAAAGTGCAGCAACTTTTTCGGATGATTTTTATCCCCAATCTTGTAGAGCTTAGAAAGCTGCTTATAAATTATTGTAAGGCCCTTATCTGGAATCTATACCTTTTATCAACTCCTGTTTATACAGTGCACATCTATGATGTGTTACGCTGGTACATTCTAGTCATCTTTACATTTTTCGATAATTGAGTTCAGTAGACCCTTTTCTTTGGACATGTGGTTATGAAAGTAAATTATATTTTATAAATATACAAAAAGCAAAAAAAAAAGCATACTGAGCATGATAACTATACAACCACTATTGAGTTATAGTTAAAATTTCAAGCGTTAAAATAACCCCCGATATATTCGCGTGGGTAACCTGTTACCCACAATTAATATTCGAACATAATTGAAATGACTAACTATAAAATAATTTACTATCATGAAACAGCCGAAATATTTCTATAGTAGAAAATCATTGTTATAACCGACGAAATTTTTTCACATTTTCATGACCTGTAATTATTTAATTTTGCTATTAACGTTTTTCTAGAAAACCCGTATTCGCTCAAAGCTCCTATCTCGAATTCTGCTTGATTTTGCAACAAATCGCTCCTTTGGCGGCTCGTATCTCGAAACAATCTTAGTCAGGTCACTCGTAAGTCGAGGAACAACTATATATATACAGTGTGGACAGGGTCGCGAGTTCGAGCCATGGAAGACCTGATATCGTACATTAGCATGTCCATTTTCACTTGGAAATATAGATTCAAAATATGTTTCCATTTCAAAATAAGCCCATTTCGGGCGCTGCTGTGTGAAATGGCAATGGGAAAGCTCTTACACTATTCTTCCTTGAATCGAGTTGGAATATAACGTAACTCACAAACGTGCCCTAGGGCAGTAGTACGCGTTAAATATATACTATTACCTAAAAATGATTTGTTTTTTGAATTGATTTAGCTGAAGAAGTGAATACGGTGAAGATTTGGCTGCGTATAAATCAGTTTTTATTGGTCGTATTTTGTAATCCCGCAGACTTTCTCGACGAATTCATCGTCTACAATAACGTCTTAAATCCGTGCATTCTCCATTTCAACGGTTTTATCCAACATGAACGATAATTGGCGTTTAAAGGAAACGCTCACGATCGCGTTGATTCCCAACGCGCGAGGGTTCCAACGAGTTCCGGTTTCCTACTCAGCATCCAAAGTAATCCGGAAATAAACATCGGGGGTCAGAGTTCGCCAACCCGTGGGACTGGTATTGCTTTACATTGACTAAGAGATGCTCTTTACTATTTAAATTTCTTTTTCTAAGGAAGGGAAGTTAGACTGAACAAGAAATGTCGATGCTGGAGCAAGCACTATAAAGTTATTAGTCAATTATTCATTTAATTTAAGGTCCAATTTGACTCTCAGTAATTTATTGCTTGAACGAAATAAACTACATCACAACACATAAAAAGTATGAAATAAACCACTATCAAACTATTTTCAGTAAAATTGCCAATTATAGATTTTTTACTATTTTTCTAAAATTTGTCATATGCCTCTTTTTACGTCATAGGCAGCGCTCATTTTAAGAGGATTTTACGAAATAGTAATACATTTCAACCAGTGCAAAATATAAATTTCGTGGGCACATTTCTTACAAGATTTTGTAAGAAGTATTCATCAGCAAAGTTGAAATCAGTATTAATTTAGTGTTTTTTTTTTAACTTCCCGTAGGGAAAGTTATTGTAATGAGTCGAAAATCGAAATTGAAATTTTTTACATTTCTCGACGTTTTGAAGATTTCTGAACATTTTGGCATACCTCCGAAAAAATGGATGTGTGTGTGTATGTATGTATGGATACAAATTTCCAGTCACGTTTTCGGGCGCACGGATCAACCGATTTGAATGGTTCAAAAAACATTCGATTCCTATTGATAGGGAGATATGCTGATGAGTTTTTGGCTAAGGCAGATCCGCAATTACGGAAATAGTAGAGTGAAATGTCGTGAAAAAAAATAGAACTCGAGTTTTTGAGAGACGGAGCATCCGATTTGAATGATCTAAAAAGCATTCAATTAGTAATGATTGGGAGAAGTGTTTATTAGTTTTTGGCAAAGGCAGGCCCAGCCATTTCAAAAATACGGAGCTAAATGTGTAAAAAATGGCAGTTTTTGAGAGAACTAAGCGTCCGATTTAAATTTTCGGTACGGTACGGGGAGTTCCAGCAATTTGCCTTAAGGCACGATGCCATACACCCCACTAGTTTATTTAATATTTTCTTATTGTTTACACTTTTGTCAGAGTAAAAGTTCAGTTGTTTTTTTACCCCTACAGCTACATGTAAGTTTTATATATATAAAAAA